AGGGACTATTGCAACGACTGGTCTCTGCCTTTCTCGCTCCTTCCTACTCTCCAGGTCCATACTGCTGCTAAGATCTACAGGGTTGACCTGGCTTGGCTGTGAGTCTTGTGTTGGCATCACCCATGTTTCCCAGTTACAATGCAGCTTTGTGTGCATATGGAAAATTTCTTTCCCAAGGCTGTGCCCAGTGCCAAAGTTTGTGCTTTCAACCACAATGCTAAATCACCTCCAGATCCCTGGGCTATATATCATCTCCAGGGCTGTCCTCCAGTATGCTCATCTTACAACAGTAATCCTTGGAAAACAACATGGGAGCAAGAAATAGCACGCTGGTCATGATTATTTTTAGATACTCCCTAAACTCAATCTTGGGACCACACGACAGTAGATGGTACTCTTCGGTACTCTTTGGTACTAGAAACCTTGGAAAGTTCCTCTTGTAGAAACTAGAAGTGGCATCTGTTTTCCTGTTTTGATTCTATGGCTACATCATCATTTTCCCCATAAGTTGGGAATTCTGAGGAACTTCAGGTCATATCGACTTGGATCTATATATAAATACCAAGGAAGAGGATGTTATAAAATTTTATGAGATGCTAAAAATGACACCCACTTGAGTTATTTGAGTCTTACTAATCCAAGTGACTCCTTATCCAACATCCCCAGGAAATAGCAGGTTTGTCCCCAAAACCCACCAAGAGGATTCTCTCTTCCCTCAGCTTGAGCTCATATGTACTCTGACTCGCATGGTTTGTATCCCACTGAGGTTAGGGTGTTCAATTCCATCTCAGATTGACTTCCTTCTTGCGGGAAGACAGTTAGAGTGATGGCTCCCAATGGAGCTGGGGCTCCCTTCCCATATCCACACCCTGGTGCAGTCCCCTCCCACACTGACTAGGAGCTTGGCCATGAGACTTGTTTTTGCTAATGGGACAGCACATGCAACACAAGCAGAGACTGGAAAAATGATTGTAAGTTGAGCCTTTTCCTCTCTCTTGCTGCTTTTGGAATCCAGCCACCTTGTGAAGAAGCTGAGGCTGGTCTCTGGAGACGCAGGGCCCAGCTAATGGCCAGCATCAATTGCTGGAAAAATGAGTGAGGTCGTCTTAGACTACCCATCCCATTTTGAGCTGCCAAATGACTGTGGCCAGGTGGCCCCAGGTGAGATGAGCAGAAGAATCTCCCAGCTGAGCCCAGGCCTAACTGCTGACCCACGGAGCCATGACGAAGTGAACGGTGGTTGCTTTCAGCCACTGAGTTTTGGAATGGTGTGTTATGCAGCAAAGGCTAACTCATACAATTCTCTTTCTACCTTTCGTCCTTTTCTACCAACTTAACAGCACCTTCATCCTGTACCCAACCCCTCCGGAAGACAGTATCCTCTGTCCACCTTTGTAGGCATCTCGGCTGACCTTGTACCAAAGGGAAACTCACCGTCCACCCAGAAGCATGGGTTCCATCAGCAAAGACCCAAAGGCAGTCCCTGTACTACTTCCCCTCAAGAGTTAAGCCCTGACTTCATTGCATGCAAAGTTTCCTGTAATTTTTTTTCTTGGAAAAAAATGTGGTTTTGCTTCCAAATGATGTTCCAGAGCTCTCTGGCTCACCAAGGAGTAATCCCTCAGCTGGAAACGCAGTGATGCTGCTATTTCAGTGTGGCACCAGGCCCCTGGCTTCTTGGTTCTGCCAGGGCTGCCGGTGCTTCCTTATGGAAAACTACATCAACTGCCCGCGATACAGAGACTCGTCCCCCAAGGCACATTTCAGAAAGGAAAGACCCTCTGCCTTCTTTCCATTCTGCCTCTTTCAACCCAAGCCCTCCCTCCCCCACCAAGTCCTCTTCCTCTGGAGCAATGAACTTCTAACCTGCTTAAGTGGAGGCCCATCTGCTGTCCCTGACCCTCTGGCCTCTCCCCACACTCATCCTAATTGTTCTCTGATGAAGGCTGAGTGTAAGCCTATGTAACACTCCAAAAATGCACGCCTGGCCGACCAAACATTAACAAGAGAGACAGCTATGAGAAAACAATATGCCTGTTTGCTCAGCCTCCCTTTCTGCCGGCAGACTAATTCTGGAAGCTTTCCCACTCTCTGAGGCAAGAGGTGCTTTGCTAATCCTGCCAAGTGTCAAAATGGATGGTGTTTGAACAGCTTCCTCCCACTAGTGCTATTTTTCAGACTGTCCCCTGGTAGAAACTCCTGTGGATTCTGTGCCGAAAACATCTCCCCTGGGTCCAGTAAAGAGAGTGGTTATAGGAGGGGTCGCTTCTTAGAGAATTAATTGCCTTTTATCAAGCGTGGCTCTTTCCTGAAGGTGAGCTGGGCAAAGGTCGCAGGGAGAAGCAGAGGTTTCCAAGGCCACCTCAGGTACTGGACATGACTCACTGGCCACAAGGAAAGGGCCTGGCGTGAAACCAACAGGTTCGGGGCCTAGGCCAGCAGTCTAAATGTCAGCTGTGACCACCCCTCGAGAAATGTATTTGGGATCCCAGATTCCTAGGCCTCAGCAATCACCGAAGCTCATGATGACATTGATGGACCTGACACCACTTCTCTCCCTGCACCCCGAGTTCCAGGAGTGCTCTCTGCTGGTCTCACGTCTCCAAGGAAGCCTTCCCCACCCCCCTCCCAGCTGGATCACCCCTGGAATCTGTTGTCCATCTCTCCCTCCTTTGTGTCCCCACCATGTCCTGGATGTCTCTGAGTTTCCACAGAGACTTCTGCACATGATTACACTTGCTTGCTTGCAGGTTTGTCTCCTTCCAATAGACTCTGGACTCCTATATAGAGGGCACGTGTTGTGTTTATTCCATATTCCCAGCTACCAACCCAATGCATGCACTTAGTCAGTGTTTATTGAGTGGATAAATGATCTGCCTCATTTTCTGTTTAACGCAGAGGAGGTAGCATGTCCAATGTCACCCAGCAGGTGAGTGCCTAAGCTTTGGACTCAGGTTGTCCTAATGTAAAGCCTGAGCCATTCTAATATTCCACCTGGACTCCCCAATTAGTGAACCCTGCCTGCCACACACACACACACACACACACACACACACACACACACATCACAGAAGAGCATGGGTAGAATTATAAAGACTAAAGACTCAGAGATGGACATGATCTAAGACATCATAGAAACCAACTCAATTATTTAACAAATGAGGAAACAGAAGCCAAAGCAGTGAAATCATTTGCATGAGTTCATGTGCTTTGGACTGACTTTAATCATGTTCAATTGATTAACCTGTAGCCCCTTGGAAGATACATGGCTGAGCGATATGCCGTTCCTGCCTCAGAGAGTTCAGTGTAGCGGGGAGAGAAATACAAATGTAGCTATAATACAGGGCAGGACGTGAGCATTTCAAAGTGGTTCAGGCCGGCAGAGGGAGAAATCCCATGGACAGAAGAGTCAGGAAAGGCTCTGCACAGGAGGCAACAGTGAGCTGAGCCTAGAAGAGTTAGATGATGGAAAGTTCAGGCACGGTCACAGCATGGGCAATGGCTCAGAGGTGGGAAAGGTGTCCTGAGCATCAGAGGAACGGTGGCATGAAAATCTGCCCAAGGCCTGGGCTTCACCTGAAGGTGCAGGATGGGAGGAGAGGCTGAAGCATGGTGTGCTTGGCGGTGAGAGCAGGAGGGAAACCAAAGTGTCTCCATCTGTTTTCTGGGAGGAGAGATGCTGCTGACAGCCCCTCTGGGGAAGTGAGTAAAAGGGACGAGACCTGGGGGTTTACAGAACAGTAAGAGAAAAAGAAAAGCTGCAAGAGAGGGGGAGGGGGAATTTCATCTTAAGGCACTAATATGCTTTTCTCTTCTGTTTCCCATTCTCCTGGGCTTTCCTTAGACGCCCCTTTGCCTGACTGTGGGCAGTGAGGAGCAGGTGGAGGAGGAGGAGGAGGAGGAGGAGGAGGAGAGGGTAGTCTGAGTGTACAGATTTCTATTGATTAGGAAAGGAACTCCAAGAGAGACCCAGGTGAGGTTCGGCTTTTGTCATTCAAAATGGGATTATGCAGAAGGTTCCAGTCTTGAAAGCCAGACCTTTATCTGGAGCAGGGATTTTCCAAATTATTCTTCCTCCTCCCTAAGTACATCAAGACTAGGCCTAAAGCTCAGAGTTCTCCAAGACTGAAGCCAGTCATTTAGGGCTCATGGGAGTCAGAAAGGAGGAAATAGAAGTAAGAAAAAGCTCACCCTTTTTCTGTACCTGAGAATCTTTAAAGAGAGAGAGAGAGAGAGAAGGATGTGGACAGATATCGAAGAGCCAAGTGACCAACAGAATTGCCTACTGTCCCCTTCTCAGCGCCTGCAAAGGGGGCGGTGTTAGAGAAGTGAGTGTCATCCTTGGGTCTCTGGGAGGAAGCCACTTCACCAGCCACCCCCTTCGAACCCAGGGCACAGCCACAGAAAAGGAGCTCCCTATGGTCAGCCTGGGTTCAGCTTCCCTGGGCTACCCTCGGTCCCATGGGGTGCAGATGCTAAGTGGGGAACCAATGGCCCACCAAGGGGCCCGCTGTTTTGAGAGAAGGTGACCTCCCACTCCTGTCTAAGGGGTGGATGCCCAGCTAACAGACTGGAATGCCACTGGAAAGAGCTAGGGCTGTGGCCCAGCTGAAGCTGAGTCACCAAATTGTCACCAGGAGCAATGCCTAGACTGGAAGAACAGGCCACACTTTCAATACTGGAGGCCAAGGGGTCAAGCTTGACCCAGGCAAAACAAGGGCGTCTCCCTACAGACCAGTGACAGCACACATCTAAGGGCCTTAGTGGGACCAAGAACCCACCAGTGCCACGAGGGGAGAAAGCCCCCTTGCTTCACACACCCGGGCCTCGGGGGTCAAAGAGCAGGGATACCAGAGACACTGTTTTTCTAAAGACCAAACTCTATCTGAAGGATTTAAAATATCAGCTCAAAGTTTAACTGGATTAGACATTTTGTTTATCCTCCTCATCCCACTAACTAGTGGGTGGGGCACAGAGGAGAAAGACCAGATTAGTTCTAAGCAAAATAATGATACTCTATTTTCCCTTCACATCCGATATGTGGTGAGTTATGTTTGTGCAACAGGCTGCTCTGAGCTCTCGGGACATCGGTGGTTAGCTAGATTCCTAGGCCTGGGGAAGGAACCAGGGAGCCCTTGAGGAAGGTCTCCATGGCTGCTCCTACACGGTGGATCCGCCTGGGGCCTTCCAGGCAGAGCTGCAGGCCCCCCTGTTGTAGGCGGTGGAACAGAACAGCACCAGGTGTCTGACCAGTGGGGTCAGACCAAATCTGGGTTCAGCAACCTCGGTACTTGGGCTCTAGTAGGAAAGAATTCAGAGGCAAGACCCAAACTATAAGAGAACATTTGTTTGCTCAATCACAGAGATAGAAGAAGTAATTCCTAGAAGAAATGGGCTTAGGAAAAGAGTTTTGGAGGTAAAGGAAGGGTGCTTGGAGCTTGGGAGTGAGTAATGTAACATGCCTGGGGCAGGGAGCGGGTGGGGGGAAGGGGAAAGGAAAGGCAGGGGTGTGCTCGCTCTCCCAAAGGAGCTTGCACTGGATCCTTCATCCTAAGGGTTTTAAGGGTGGAGTTTTTAGGGGAGGTCTCAGGGAAAGATCTTGATAGAATATTCAGCAGCTTTCCAGGTGTGTCCTTTCAGGGTTGTGTCTCCACTGACTGATCGGCGGGCACTGGGGCAGGGGGTCATTATTCAATGCAGCTGGTCCGGACTGTGGCGGGTTTTGTTGCTTATCCGGGCCTGGAGCTGAAATACAACTGAAGCCTGGATGTTATCTCTAAGGAGGAAAGGTCAGAGGGTCCAAACCGCATGACCAGCAACAAGCGAGGGGAGGGAAAGTCACCCTGGGGGCGAGGTCCCACCCTACAACATTGTCCTTTGCTAGGCCCCGGGGCTCTCTGCCCTGGTGACCTGTGGCTGGTTTTGTTGCTTATCCGGGCCTGGAGCTAAAATACAACTGAAGCCTGGATGTTATCTCTAAGGAGGAAAGGTCAGAGGGTCCAAACCGCATGACCAGCAACAAGCGAGGGGAGGGAAAGTCACCCTGGGGGCGAGGTCCCACCCTACAACATTGTCCTTTGCTAGGCCCCGGGGCTCTCTGCCCTGGTGACCTTCTGTACCTGGCCCTGTTGTCGTTGTCATTGTCGTTGTCGTTGCTCTGCTCAGGACTGCCTGCCTGCCTACCACAACCCCCTCGTGGGAGGCCTTGTGGAAAGGAGCCTGAGCAAGAGGTGGGGTCTTATTCCTCAAGGGGGTAGCCAGGAGTGGGCCCCCGGGTGAGGAGAGTAGGAGTTATGCAGAGGGAGCTAATAAAGATTAAAGAAGTGGAAGAAATGGGAAAGTAAGATCCTAGAAAGAAACTTAGGAAAATGGGAGGCATGAGACTGATGTCCCTGAAGGGAGAAAGCTGGGCCAGGGTCTTAGCCACGTGCCAGGAGGTGGAAAATGCTCCCCAGCAGGGCTGGGAAAGAGGGCACAGTGGGCAAGGGCTCAAAAATTGTGGGGAAATCTCCACTCTGAGCTTCATGGACAGAGAAGGGGAGGGGAAGGGAGCTGGTGCAAAAGTTGAACAATAATGACCCCCTGTGCTGAGCACCCCCACCCCCCACCCCAGTTTCCTGGGGAAATACAAGGTCTGAGCAGAGGCAGCCAATTCCATGGGGCGATGCTGCCCCCTCCTGGGAGAGGCTCCCAGGCCCTTGTGGCTGTGGGAGCTGCTTGGCCAGGACCTTTGGGCTGAGGGGGGGGGGGGGGGGGGGGGGGGGTAGGAAATAAAATAGAAGGAAAACATGACTTAAAACTCTTAGGTGCCTGACTCTTCTGCATCTGCGCTCAAAATCCTTCCATCCATCCTCCCTCTTTAGGCCACATGGTGGGCTCAGATGGCCGGTGAAGGCTCCAGGGGGTCTCCAGCGCCCAGAGCCTCAGGTGCTCAGTGGAAAAATACGGTTGCCATCAGGATGCTTGTTGAGGTATGGCACCTGCGTGGCCCAGGGTGGGCACTCAGTACATGGGGTCGTCATTGTTTGCCTTCTCTGTCTCCCTCCCCTCCCTTTCTCTCTGCCCTCCTCTGTCCATAGAAGCTCGGACTGGAGAATCCCCCAGTTTTTCAGCCCATCCCCACTGGGTATGCCAGCTTCCCTACACTGTTGTAGACCATCATTCCCACTCTTGGCGCACGTGGCAAAGCCCACTTCTGGGTCCTGTCATGGACATCGTACTTGCACTCTTCATTTTCCTGAGGCTCTTTTAGCATTTTACTTGCCTTCCTTCTCCTTATTAGCTCCCACTACTACATAAGTCCCTCCTCACTTTCACACAAACCTTCTCTCCTGATCCTTTTAAAAATATATATATTTTCATTGATTTCAGAGAGGGAGGGAGAGGGAGAGAAAGATAGAAACATCAATGATGATAGAGAATCATTGATTGGCTGCCTCCTGCATGCCTCCTACTGGAGATGGAGCCTGCAACCCTGGCATGTGGCCTTGACCGGAATCGAACCTGGCCGAACTGGCTAGGGCTCCCCTGATCCTTAATTCCCCTTCCCCTCTCCACTGACTGCACTGCCCTCCAGCCCCATCAGCACCCTGAGTTACATGACCCCGATGACCTCACTTAACCCTGAGGTCTCCAAGGTCTCCCTCAACCCCATGCCCGCTTCTCCTACCTAATTTGATGGTTTTGCAGCATCCAGTGCTCCTGCCCATTCTTTCTGCAAAATCTCTCTCCCTTGAATTTCCTGGGACACTTCCCCTGATTTTCCTATGACCTTGAACCCCATTGTCCTCAGTTTCTTTGCTGGCTCCTTTTTGTCTACCAGAACCAGCCACAGGGCTCCCTCTTGGCCTTCTTGCCTTTTCATTCTACGCCCTCACCCGAGGGCTGCAACCCTCCCATCTCCCACCCCTACCCCATTTCCAGCTGCTGTACACCAGTCTGTTCCTGCTCAGACCCCCGCCCAGCTCCGTGTCTGTCCATGCAGAGGGACACTGGTCATCTCCATGCGGACAGCCAGAGATACTGCCAGCTCCAAGGTCCAAACTGGACTCATTGTCCTCCCCAAATTGGTTCTTCCACAGAAATCTAGGAGACATTTTTAGCTCCTTTCTATCTCTTCTTGCTCACTCCTCCTACCATCCAACTGATCTCAGCGTTCTGTCCATTCCATCTCATTCTATTTATTGCCTAGAATCCATCTTTCATTGCCATGGACTCTACAGCAATTTTGTGGGTGCTCGTTGTGTTTTAAGCTCCGTGCACATGGGCCTCATTTAATTCTCTGAACAATCTTGTGGACCTAGAAAGGAACCAGGGCACCGAGAAGTCATTTGCTCGGGGCCTGTAGTGAATATGTGGTGAAGCCCAGATGGACCCGGTCATGGGGCCAGCAGAGCCTTGGTTTCTAGCACTGCTGTGCAGCATTCAGGATCATATTCTTTGCATAGATTATCGCATTGTCTCTCTTACTAGTTTTCATGACGTCAGCCCTCCCCTTCCTTCACTGTAGCTATCAACGAGATGACTTTACTCCGTTGGTTCCTAAAACTAAAATTTAGTACTGAGACTCTACTTAAATTCATGCAGTAGCCTCTGCTATTCTTTTTTTTTTTTTTTTTTTTTTTTTTGGTGGTGGGGTGGTGGTGGTGGTGGATCTCTGCTATTCTTAAGCTAAAATCAACAGTCTGTAGCTTCCTCCGTCCCAACGTGGATGCCACACAGGCATCAAAAACAGCCTATTCAGCCCAGCCGATGTGGGTCGGTGGTTGAACGTCAATTCCCGGTCAGGGTGCATATCTGGGTTGCGGGCTCGATCCCCAGTGTGGGGCGTGCAGGAGTCAGCTGATCAATGATTTTCTCTCATCATTGATGTTTCTGTCTCTCTCTCATCTTCTCCCTTCCTCTTTGAAATAAACAAACATATATTTTTTTAAAACTCAGCCTGTTCAACCCTGAACTCCTCCTCCTCTTTCCTCACAGAGCTTCTCCTCCTCCTCCTCTTCTGTTTCTTCTTCTATTTCAAGAAATGGCAGCACCATCCACCCAGCTGCCCCCACCCACCACTGGGCACATCTTAGATCCTTTCCCTCTGCCATCAAAGCCACTCTATCATCAAGTGCTGTTCCTTTGACCTCTAAAGTATCTCAGTCCATTCTCTTCTCTTCCGCTCCACTCCCCTTCCTCTCGTTCAGGCTGCCATGTATGGGCTCTGCAGCTGAATTCCATCAGATCTTCCTGCCTCTGTTTTACCCCACACCTTACGTTCACTGTCCACACTACCCAGTTACCTTCAAAATCAAGTTCACCATGCCTCTCCCCTGCTGAAAACCAGCAACTTGGTGGGCTAAACTAACTTGAAACCCTCCCAATATGAACACCTAGAAATTTAAATGCATTGCTGAGTTCATCAGGAAGAAAGGCAATGCTCATGTTGTGTCTAACACAAAGAGAACACTGAAAATAAGAGCTGTTGGCACATGGGTGGTGAACACATGAGGGGTTGCCATGGCAACAGGAATCAATGCCACAGCAGCTCTGGAAGTGACCATTAGACCTTGAATGGGCCTGATGTTAAGGGTTTATCAAGAAATGGGATAGAGTTAAACTTTGGCCAATATCTGCTCTCCCAGCTCTGGCCTTAGCTTTGGGCCTTTAGAAATCTAAATATTCAAATATACCTGCTTCAGTGGCATCGTGGTGTCCTTGATCTTGTGCATCATCAATAATCATGTGATTATATCCACCAATTTATTCACCACTTTCACCAGTTTTTCCATGTATATCCTTTCTCTTTTCCAGGATCCAATCCAGGAAACTTATTGCACTTAAGATTTATTCCATTTTTAGCTGCATATTCTTGAATCACCTCTTCATGTGATGGTTTTGTAATATTATTTTCTATAGACAAAACAGAAAGATAATACAGTGTTCTCTCTGATGTGGCTAATCAAACTTGTTTTCTATTATTGGTAATTTAAACATTTTTCTTCTAGCTTTACTACTTTTTTTTTTTTTTTTTGGTAATGACACATAAATATCTAGGATTGTTTGTCCACTTTGGAAAATCTCTATGAAATTTCTGTCATCTGCGAGCTGTAAATATATAGTGTGTTTATCATTGCATTCGCAAATATATCCTTGATGAAAGTAAACTTCCATTTTGACCAGGCATTGAGTAAAAATGAATCCTCCACTTACAGTTTTACATTTCTGAGATTCGAAAAATTTTCCACAGACCAGGAAATTATAGATGGCTCTACAGATCTTAAACTTTGCTTCTCTAACCATCTGCATATTTTTGGTGCTGGGTATCGTGGGATTGTTTTGCATCTCCATCCAACCTCTGATGCTGTGTGCCAAGCAAGGCAGCATGTGGGCTGTAGGCGTGTTTCTGGAAGCCATTCCAGACATCTTTATCCCCAGCAATAACTGAACTATACGTGGAAATGACTACAAACCACCTAATATATCCTGTGAAACCCAAAGTCAGTGTAGGCCAACTCTTCTTCCTCCTAGTCCAATTCCCCAAAGGCCCATGGTCATTCCCATGCCCCCAACATGAGGAAATGTTGGAAACAGTATAGTGAATTCATTTTTTAAATGGCATTTTTCTGCATTTCACAATGTTTGTTTTATTCGTCAGCTTTTCTAGAAGTTGTTGAGACCTCTTTTCTCCTTGTCATTATTTACTTTCATTCTTAATTTTGTTTTCATAGTTTGTGCTGGTTTTCCCTAAATTGCATAAGCTTCGGGCCCCAAGAAAACTGGATCCACCTTTGACTGAGACAGTTCATCACTCGCAGACATTGGTGAAAACTCCTAAAAGATGATCTTCAGGAAGAAGGAAATTGAACTCAGAAGGGAAAGGTGAGATTCATGAGACAAGGACACAAGTAAATAATGTAATTAAATAATAGTAATAATAAGTGATTTCTCATTGCTCTGTTGAGCAACACAAACACTGTAATGTGACCAACAAGGTCCTGAATGATCTTCGATGACCTCCGGCTTTATCAGGCACCATCCCCACTCACCACCTGCTGGACATCTGTCTCCAGGCATTCCCATGTCCTGTTCCTTCTCACTGGAACACTTTCCCCCTCCCTCCTTAAGGCAGGGACAGCTGACCCTCTCAGTCTAGATGAGGGGCCCCTCCTGTCTGCTCTGAGGCAACCCACCATGTACACTCCCCTGTCACCATCTCATCCCCCACTGGGTTGTGGCCTCCTGAGCAGGCAGCCTGGTTGTTTATTGCTGTGTCCCAGCACCCAGCACCCAACACCCAGCACAGAGCCCGAAGCAAGTAGGCGATCTGTAACTTATTTGCTAAAAATGTGCATAAACAATTGAACCAAAACCTTTTGCTTTTCAGCCCTTGTCATTCCAACCAGTGTTAATAGGTATTCACATCAGTCCTCTTCCCTGCCTTAGTAAACAGAGTGACAACAGTCCAGTCTCTTTCTTCTTTCTTTTTTATCACATGTATGGGGGTGACATTGGTTAATAGGAGCATATAGGTTTCAAGTGTACATTTCTATGATATCACATGTATGGGGGTGACATAGGAGCATATAGGTTTCAAGTGTACATTTCTATGATACAGGATCTGCCTATTGCATTGTGTGCTCACCACCCAAAACCAAGTCATCTCCCATCACCATATATTTGGTCCCCTTTACCCTTTAGCACCCTCTCAACTCCTTCTCTCTGGGAATCACCATACTGTTGTCTGTGTCTACGAGTTTCAGCTTCATTTCTCACCTGTGAGTGAAATCATGTGGTTCTTAGCTTTTTCTAGCTGATTTATTTTGCTTAGCATAATACTCTCAAGGTCCACCCACGTTGTCACAGATGGTAGCACTTCCTCTTCTCTTTCTGTTATCTCAGGTACCGTAGACCCTGTAGACATCGTGGGTGCCCTCCCATAGCACCTCAACCTACTTCGGAAGAGGCCTCCTGAGAGTTGCCCACCAGCCTAGGGCTTCCTGCCTGAGGACGCCCTCTGGCTGTGGGACTGTGCTTGGAAGTGCCAGGGAATTAACACTCCAGGAGCAAACCTGAGCCGAGCAGGGCAGCTTCCTTGCATATTCCACAGTTTCTCAGAAGATCCCCAGCAGCACTGAGCTCTGGGTGCCCAGAGTCACTCCCCCTCCCTCCTGTGCTTCCTGGGCTCACCTACCAACTAAACCGCTTGCCCCATCCTCGTCTCAGGGCCTAAGACACGGGCCATTGTTCCCACCACCGCCTGCCATGCCCAGTGCTGGAGCTCTGGCGAGTGCAGGAGATGGGGCAGAATTTTGTTGGACCCCAGGATCCAGCTCTGGGCGACAGTGGTTTGAAAAAGAAATTTCCCTCTCCCTCCTGTGCTTCCTGGGCCCACCTCCCAACTAAACCGCTTGCCCCCATCCTCGTCTCAGGGTCTAAGGCACGGGCCATTGTTCACACCACCGCCTGCCATGCCGAGTGCTGGAGCTCTGGGGAGTGCAGCAGATGGGGCAGAATTTTGTTGGACCCCACGATCCAGCTCTGGGCGACAGTGGTTTGAAAAAGAAATTCTGAAAATATATGCATTTCGATAGAATATCTATCCAATTCCGGAGATATGTGAATTTCAATAGAGTATCTCCGAAAAGTTCAGGAGGCTTCAAACGCTGAAAGGGGAGAGTCTTAACGCAGAACAGTGCATAGACCCCTGCGGAGGGAGAAGAGCATGGAGCACTGGTATCTTGTCACCCACGCTGCCCTGGAGTGTCTCGGGTAGGGAGTGCTCCCCGCCAGGGCGGTGGCCAGTCTCTGTCCTGGGACGTGGGCAGCTGAGCAGGGGAGACTCAGGCTGGGACCCACCTTCCAGGGAGCTGCTCCTGCCGCCCACATAAGTCCTTGGCATTTGAAAGCAACCAGAGCCACTTCGGGCTGTGTCTGTCTGACTCATTAAGGGACTCAGGGCTACTGGAAAGAAGCCTCCAAGAGGGGAGACCGGAGTGGCCTTTGCTGTGCCTGGTTTGCATCTCGCTCATCTAGGAGGGGACAGGC